GCTCTCAAATCACATCACCGTATTCATACTGGAGAAAAACCGTACTGGTGTGAAGAGTGTGGGACAACTTTCAGTACATCAAGTGCTCTCAAAAGACATCACCGTATTCATACTGGAGAAAAACCTTACAGCTGTGATGAGTGTGGGACAACTTTCACTACATCAAGTGCTCTCAAATCACATCACCATATTCATACTGGAGAAAAACAGTACTGGTGTGAAGAGTGTGGGACAACTTTCAGTACATCAGGTGCTCTCAAAAGACATCACCGTATTCATACTGGAGAAAAACCTTACAGCTGTGAAGAGTGTGGGACAACTTTCACTAGATCAGATGCTCTAGAAAAACATCACCGTATTCATACTGGAGAAAAACCGTACTGGTGTGAAGAGTGTGGGACAACTTTCACTTCATCAAGTGCTCTCAAAACACATCACCGTATTCACACTGGAGAAAAACCGTACTGGTGTGAAGAGTGTGGGAAAACTTTCACTACATCAAGTGCTCTCAAATCACATCAATGTGTTCACACTGGAGAAAAACCATAGTGGTTTTAAGAGTGTAGGAGCCGCAATTAAGCATATTGTTTTTTTCACAGTTTACAATAAACAATTCCCATCTATAGAGAGGCGAAGTCACGCCCATCTACTTCCGCTCCATGGGACCTTATTTCGGAAAAATAATGTATTGAAGTCAATGGAGAGAGAAAACGTATCTTTCGATCCCGTTTGAATAGTGCCATGAGTTACACATATGATGTTTGTCCATCTTAAAAAATAATTTCCATGTAAAAAAAAAGTCATTTGTGGGAAAACTGTTGAAATATAAGACTATGAAAAATACGCAACTACAAAGACTACTAATCCCAGAGTCGCGTAAGTGATGTCACAATTGTTTTCCTCCACTAAGAGATAGCTAAGATCAGCGCCATTAGAGATGTCCCGATCCGATCATGTGATCGGGGATCGGAGCCGATCACGTGATTTTTAAAAGATCGGAATCGGGAGAAAAAGATTGGGGATTGGGAATCTTTTTTTTAATAATTTTTCTAAAAAATGTTTTATTTAATGTTACAAAACAAAAATGACCATGCTCACGTCTTAAAGTCATCCTGAGGCCTTAGTTTAGGTTTAAAATTACACAACATCATGTATGTGTTGCTTCTTCTGGGCTTGTTTTCAGACCTGGTTGCTTATTTCTCTCAAATCTGGCAACAGAGTGGGCGCAGTGTCTAATAGTAGCAGTAAGCTAACGAGAGGCTACGTTCAGCTGGTGACTCGGGAGTCGGGACAGAGAAAATGTCAGCAGTTTGGAAGTATTATACAATTGAAAGCGAAGGCAGTGTAACAGCCAGATGCAATGTTTGCAAGGCGGAGGTTCCGCGTGGTGGAAAGAACAGAGCTACGTTCAACGCGACCAATCTAATACGCCACCTGAGAAACAAACGCCAACAACAACACGGCGAGTACACTAGGGCTGTACACGAATATCCGAATATTCGTTCGTTGGAGTACTATTCGGGTTTCAATTTCGTTATTCGGAAATTCGTTTTTTCATTGTTTTCCCCTATTTTTTAAAAATTGAATTTATTGAAATCTCCAATATCAACGTAAGAGTTTGTGCCTCTTCGGGGGGTGCTAACACTTAACCATAAACGTTATCGTTTACTTTCTCCGTCTTTATATGTAGATATTACTTTTCTCCGTTAATATCCGTCACGTTGTTTCCAAAGCAACAACAACTTCCTGTCAACAGCGCTACCTCTCCTTCAAAATAAAAGCATGTCCACAAATAGGAAGCCAAGACAAATTACACTTAAGACATATACAACTGCAACGAAAGTAACAAACACAATGCGATATCCTTTTCAATTTCAAAGACATCATATTTGTAATTCGTGGCACAATTCAAACGGGATCGAAAGATAATCTTTCTCTCTCCATTGACTTCAATACGTAATTTTTTTCAAATAAGGTCCCATGGAGCTCCACCGGAAGGGGAGGGACTTCGCCACTCTATTGGCCTTGTGAGAGCCTTTTCTTATCAAGCTCCACATTTGTGGAATCAGCTTCCAGTTTGTGTTCGGGCGGCAGACACCCTATCCGTTTTTAAGAGTGCGCTTAAGACCTTCCTTTTTGATAAAGCTTATAGTTAGGGCTGATTAGATTCAGCCCCTAGTTTTGCTGATATAGGCTTAGTTTGTCGGGGGACATCTTACTTCTTCCTTCTCTCTGTCTATACCTATGTACTCTCATGTTCCGATTAACCCAGCTTCCCCAAATGTCTTTCTTTTTGGTGTCTATATACGCCGGGATCCGGAGTCATGGATGATCCTGCGCTCCTGTGTCCTGCATCGCGAGCCCTGGATCTTGAGTCTTGGCTGTGGTCCTGGATCATAGGTCCTGGATGGATATCCTCGTGGATTCATCTTCCTATTATACACACATGCATTTCCAAACATTTGGACTACCTATGTTGCAAATGTATTATCTTTTCAATTTACACACGGCATCTATTGCACGTCTGTCCGTCCTGGGAGAGGGATCCCTCCTCTGTTGCTCCCCCTGAGGATTCTCCCATGTTCCCTTTAAACTGTGGGTTTTCTTCGGAAGTTTTTCCTTGTACGATGTGAGGGTCTAAGGACAGAGGGTGTCGTATTGTCATACTGATATTTTGTACAAACTGTAAAGTCCACTGAGATAAATGTAACATTTGTGATATTGGGCTATATAAATAAACATTGATTGATTCATTGTGTTGGGTAATCCTTTTTTCCATTACAGATCCCATCCCAACGATGTGACAGTAACGGAAACATAGTGGAAGAAATGCTGGAGGAAAGAACACTAGTATGCCTTAATGATGGACATGGCACAAGAGTAGATGTTCACAGGGGGAAAGTCTCATGCCTGGATCTGACATTAGTGTCAAACTGTTTGGTTCATACATGCGAATGGTTTGTTTTGAATAACTCCACTGTAGGAAGTGACCATTATCCAGTGCTTACTAAAATGAATAATAATGTATATATGCAGGAAGGAGGTGTGATAACCAGGTGGTGCTTTGCTAAAGCTGATATGTACTCAGTAAATACATTTGTTCCTGCTCAAGATTAGATTCAACTTTGTGTCTTTTGATTTAACAATGTAAGTAGAATCCTCTTTGTAATTTTTATGTTTGCACTTGAGTAACCTCAATGGTATTGAACAAATTTGTTGTTCAATGTATTAATGAATATAATTTAGTTCGAATTTGATTGAAGTATTTTAATGTGCAAATGCTATAATCAGTTTGTTTCACCTTTCTACTAGAACCATTGGCAACAGCTACCATCCCACCAACATACCCTGATAAAATAAAACATAGAAGTTTAAACTCCTGTCTCCTGGTGGTTTGTGGCTCCAGTTTGAACATTCATCTCCAACACAAGTTAATGTTGCAGGAGCTTTGCCGGCAAAACCTGAAGTGGGATGAACACATTTCCCCCTCCTTCTCCAAACAGTGGTCTGATTGGCTGAGCGACCTCCAAAGGATGAGTGTATTCAAGGTGGAACGCTGTATCAAAACCCTGAACTTTAAAACATCTGTGAAAGCACAAATTCATAATTGTTCTGATGCCAGTGAAGCTGGTTATGGTACAGTGTCGTACCTGAGACTGGAAGGTGGCAATAAGGTGCATGTTTAATTTCTTGCTGGAAAGGCCAGAGTTGCACCTCTGAAGCACATCACTGTTCCTCGTTTGGAGCTCACAGCGGCAGTCCTCGCTGTCAGAATGGATGGAATGCTTCAAAGGGAACTACAATGGCAACTGGAGAAGTCAGTGTTTTGGACCGATGGCACGACTGTCATCAAATACATCTCCAATGAAACCAGACGTTTTCATACGTTTCTTGCCAACCGAGTCACTGTGATCAGAGAAGCTACAGAAGCTACCAGTGGAAGTATGTGGGCTCCAAGGCCAATCCTGCTGACGAAGCCTCACGTGGATTAAGAGCCGAATAATTTCTCACACATGGAAAATGGATTAAAGGCCCAGAATTCCTGTATTTGCCTGAGAGTGAGTGGCCTACACTGGAAATGGATTCAGTGATTCCCACTGATGACCCGGAGGTTAAAAAAGAAGCAGCAGTGAATGCCATTGTTAAGGATTCAGAAAATCCATCAGACCATCTCATCAACTACTTCTCATCTTGGAAGAAGCTTAAAACGTCTGTTGCCTGGTTCCTTGAACTTAAAAGACTTATGTTGCTTCTGAGTCAAAAGAAAAAGGAACCAAGTCTGACTCCAAAGGATTGGTCCGCTCTGTGTGCATCCAAACCAAAACCAGCGTCTTGGAGAGACCTGTGACGAAGATCTGCCTGCTGGTGGAGGCCACAGAATAAGATCATGGACAATTCTATCTATTTTCTCTTCCTATCTTCTTACCATCTGTTTATCTTTCAGTGGCTACAGAGAAGGTGACACAGAAGACACTATGGCTCATGGATAGAGAGAATAGCTCCCTTATATGTTTTACATAAGGGTAATTGTGATTCTCACAATTAGGGGCCGGCATGTGGAAGCTATTCAGTATTTTTCACACTTATTTAATGTATTTATTTGTTATTTTTTGTTTTGTAGAATTAATTAATTTACAGCCATATTATTTAAGTGAAGTTGTGTTCCAGCTAAAATGCTTTTATTTTGAAGGTGATGGGTCAATTTGGGCACACAGCTGGGTTTATTTAAGGCAATCAGGGCACAGCAGCAGTCAGTGGGCACCTTGAAGGTCTATGTTTTTTTTTTATCAGTATCAGGGCTGAGTTCAGCAAACATTTCAACACCTTTTGCTGTATTGTTCCCGCAAGGTGAAGCTAATAAATACCACAAATGTTGATGCCTTGTCTGGACAATGGATTGATTACCGGCTCCTGATCTGCGTAAGGTCCACTATACCTGGTGCCTCAGTTGTCTTTTGAAACTTTGTTGTTGACAAATAGCCACTGCAATGAACGCACACACATTTTCAACATTTATTAACAATTGATTCATTTAGCAAGCAGCCTCAGTAGCGTGTGGAAGAACCAAACACAGCAATGCCAACAAGCATTGTTACAACATAAAAATCGTCCATCAAACACAAATTGCCTTCTTGTGTTAAGTTTAGTTAGAAACATGTATTTAATGAATGTCTCTCACTGTGTTTATGTATGCAGCGCACACACCCAAATACATCCTGGTGTGTGTGCTTTCAAACACAGTCACTGAAGGCAAAGCCGACACAATGCAGCGCTAGATAAAGATCAAACCAAAGTCATTTGAAAGGTGCTGCTGCTAAACAGTTATGTACCACGATCTGAAGCATGTCTTATTACTCGCTGTGATTCATTTTGAAAGGTGCGTTTATTATAAACACATCGTAGGAACAGCAGTTCTTTCATCAGGTATTATATCTGATATTTATATGAATCAGAGTCGTTACCTTGCAGGTGAACCACATATCTGCAGTGTGAGTCTGCAGGAGGGAGGATGTTCACTCTGAGGCTCAGGTGAGCTGCAGAGTCACAGGTGAGAGTCACAGGTGAGCTGCAGAGAGTCACAGGTGAGCCGCAGAGAGCCACAGGTGAGCCGCAGAGAGTCACAGGTGAGCCGCAGAGAGTCACAGGTGAGCCGCAGAGAGCCACAGGTGAGCCGCAGAGAGCCACAGGTGAGCCGCAGAGAGTCACAGGTGAGCTGCAGGTCAGCAGAGTTCTGCAGCAGGACGTTCTCGGGGTGTGTGTGTCGGAACCAGGAGTAACGGACCGCGGTCCCCCGTGAACACACACATCTCACCGTCACCGGACCCCCCCCGACAGGTGGAGCCCTCCATCAGGGAGACCAGGGTCTGGAGGCGGGGCTTAGAGACCGGGACTGAAACACAGAGGAGAGCAGGGCAACCTTTTTTTATTCAAATTCATCTTGTTTTAATTTGTATTGGCTTTTTCTTTACTGCATTTAAATTTAGTTTTATAAGATACTTCCTTTGCACCATATCTTATTGATTTATTTATGCCTTGTTAAAATGTGCTAAATAAAAAAACTTGATGACATAAATGTATTTATTTTTGCATTAGACTGAAGTTGTTGTGTTTTCATGGCTCCTTTATAACCGGCAGAGAACGCCTAATCAGGTTAAAGGTTACAGGTTATAGGACCAACTTCATCACCATGCTATATTCTGACTGGGGGGGGCCGTTACTTTCTGAGGGGGGCCCAATAAATGCAGGACGAAAAAGACAAAGACAGTATGAAGTAATTGCGCACCTCGGGGTGTGAAGAGTTACTCGGCCTCCGATGGTTTGGATGATGTTGCGATGTGTTTGAACAAAATAAAATAACAAACTTTTACACAAGCAACAAAGAAAAGAGGCCTTTACAATATTCAAAACAAAGAGGCAAAACTCAGCGTCTGCTGACTGGCACACCGGGCACGGGGGTTTCATGGTGATACCTGTTAGTTAAATATTGAACCCTCTCCACCTGCAGTATAAGGCCTGTCGATCCCGACCCAGTAGACCCCGCTGTCCCCCTTCTGCAGATCTAAGACCCTCACAAACAGTCCTCTACTCCGAGCATCCACGATGTGAACCCGGGTGCTTCTGGTCTTCCCCTCCGAGTCCACCAGCACCTCGCAGGTCCTCCTAGACTCTCCTCGGCACCAGTACTTGTTGCTGAGCAGCTGGTTCTTATAGCTGCAGGAGAGCAGGAAGTCTGACCCGAGGGGAGCCGTGATCTGCTTCTTGTCACACTGCAGCTGCAGACTCGCTGAAACAGAAAGGAAAAGGGAGTCTGAGAAGAAGCTCTTTCATGTCATACCAACAGTGGGTCTGCTAATGCACATTCAGAGTGCATGGGAGTGGGTTGCTTGTGAATATCCCCGTGAGAAATAACATTTGTACCTGTAAATACTTTCCACACACCTGAACACACAGAATATCACGTTAGCTAGGAATACACATCTGTACGCAGGTATTTATGGTGTGTGTGTGTGTGTGTGTGTGTGTGTACCCTGGCAGGCCAGTGGGGAAAAATAATAATTTTTGTGTAGTTGTATATTGCAATAATAACGTATGGTTGTCACAAAATCCCACAGCACACCCGGACTTGCCTCACGGCACACCAGTGTGCCGCGGCACACCTGCACCTCCCTATATGCCACACCATCTTTGAGAAATGACTGCAGGATCTCAGGTCTGCAAAGTGGACAGGTAGGCGAGAAAGGCTTTTTTGAGTCTCAGAGACCAAGGTCCTGTACACTTCGCATACATTGACTGCACGACTTCAGGTCTGCGATGTGGACAGTACACCTCAAATACATCACTACACAACCTGGGGTATTTGAAGATAAGGGAATGACATGTTTATAATATGCTGCAAAACACAACAAATATGCAGGGTTACGAGTCTGTTTCTAAGGCCATTTTATTTTTGGTAGTCTGATCATTTCAACAAGAGAATAGAATCAAACTGAAAACATCGTAAATATGTTCCAGATACATGAAGCAGATTAATGAACAGTGAAACTCGCTCATGGACTTTAAGGTGAATACTTTAAGAAAAGGTTTTTGTTGGTGTCTCAGTTTACCTTATTTATATGTATAGTGCAATATTATTTTAGAACACTTGGTGGCGGGGTTTAGCTGCACCGGGTGTATAAAAGGGGTCATAGGTGAGAGGAAGAGGACACAGGAGGAAGAGCATACCGATTCTACCAGACGGCCAGCCCAGCCCCAGCAGATGCTCATACTACAACTATTGACACCGTGTACTTAAACCTTGGTATGTAAAGCAATAAAACATCATTCTAAAACTGCAGCAAAAGACCGGAACTTCATATGTTTGTGTCTGCGTCAGGATCACTCTAAACCCTCCTGTGAAGTAATGGCAAAAAGATATAGGACACTGGAACATTTAAACTGCCATTACATTAAGTAGAATCGTACTCTATGAGTGAAACTGGACAATAAGAAACATATCGCATTGGATTAAGGATCGTTTTCACCGGACAAACAATTGGATTACTTCACAACCAATACCGTCATCCCGGATCAGCTAGACCAGTGTTCCTAACCTTTTTTGTCTTGTGTACCCCCTGAGCCTTTTGTCATACCATGAGTACCCCCTCAATCATACGTGCTGATGATCCTTCACAAGTAGAACGTAACTGATTATTGAATGAAAATAACTTTATTTCATCTCCTTAATTTGAACATCTAATTCTCAGGCTTTTTCTTAATTTTAACTTAGAGAGAGTGACAGCATCCCAACAACTGTTGTGCAATGAAATATTGGGCTACTAGTAATCTCGAACCGTCAGTTTAAAAAAGAAAAAGCGATACCGTTCCGTTAAATATCAATAATTTCGAACATCGCGGGGAAATTCCATCGACTCATTTTAAAGTTTTGGGGGAAGCCGGAAGTGACGTTAATGCGGGAACACTTCACTGTGCGGCGAGAGAGCCAAACACGGACAAAGTAGGCTTGTTTGAGACCATAGACTGTATATATAAATGGACGTAGGGTCCGTGACGTCACCCATAGGATTCTGCAGAGTTGCCGTGAAGCCCTTAGTAGGCGGAGTCGGCCACTAACGGCTCGACAGTGACGCCTGAGTTCAACTCCCGCTTCTCCAGCCTGCTCCAAATAAGGGCAAAGAGGCGGAGCCGAGGCGGGACCTGCTGCCACCGAGCTGGAAGTTCCAGAGCTAGCTGAAGCTACCAAGCTAAGCTACCAAGCTAAGCTAACATGCAGCATCTGCACCCATGATCTGCACGCTGCCGTCGCATTTTACGTTTCTAAGGTAAGCGGACATGAAACTATACAGCAAAACTATAAATAATAATCTAAGTTATTGAGCTTTTAGCATAATACTTCAGAATCTTAAAACCCCTTAACGTTTGTATGCAATTGTACTAAATTCAACACTGGAATCAAGCAAATATTAATATGTTTGCATGACATTAGTTATTTATATTTTGATATCACTTAACTATACGTTTAATACATTTAAGTCAAGCTAAGGTACATGTGATGGTAGCTAGTTAGTGCTCTTACCTGTGAGGCCTCTTCCAAACAGCATAATAACCAGACTGTATCATTAAAACTAAGTACCAGTTATAGATCCTTGACTTTAGACAAACAATTCAAAAGACAAAATGTATTTAAAGACCAATCTTTATTTGAATGTGCCTCTTAACCTGAGATATTAGTTATACAGTAATAGTATTGACAATCTAAAATAACTGAGCAACTCAACAGTCAACTTTATGTTTCTTATTGTCTAAAGCATTTATTATTTTCATTTTCCCAATCTCATATTCAGTGTGGACGGATTGAGACAGCATGGTGTCCAGAGAGCTGCAGAGACTTCAGGGAGAAACCTCCGTGTGATGGACGTCCTGTCTGTTGGTTTGGAGAGGACTGAGGGTCTTTCCTCTGCGAGGAGGACCAGGGCTGATGGAGGAGCCCATGCTGGGCAAAGCTGATACCAACTGCACAGGCCTAGTCGGTCACTTTATTTGACTAAATGTGTTTAATACATTTAATAGGTTTACACCTTCTGTCCATATGTGCTTTTTATTTAAAACATTTGATTAACTTTTGGTTCACATTTCAATAAATTGTATTTGCACTCCTTTTGTCCATTATTCTTACTGAAAATGTTAGATTACATATTCACATCTGACTGAAGATTGGCCCCATTTATTTTGCATTTGTTGCAAAACAAGGTACATGATGTGAAGCTCATAAAGTGAGGCAAATAGAAATAATCAGCTGATGGAGTGTAGATGTGGAAATAGCTGCATTCGATCAGCTGACTGTTTTTACAATAAAAGTAGTTTCTTAGTGAATGTCCTGTACTGGTCTTAAAATCTCATAACATCAGCTTTTAATGTTCCTCTTGGATGTTCTTCTTGACGCTCAGAGAAGGAGAACATGTCGTGTCTTTCAGGCATGTCCTTTCCTAACAAGAATGACAGGAAACATAAAACATATTATTGCAGAACAAGTGTATTATTTATGAAAGCGGTATGTTTGTGTGTTTAGGGGCTGTAGATATCATTATTTTGTAATTGTAATTATTTCAACAATGAGCTACAAAGACAATCAGATTATGAATGAACAGTATGAAGTTCATCAACATTGAAATATATGTTATTATCAAAATAATATTTAACTGTTATCAAAACGTAGTGCAACTGTAGAAGCTTGCTCTGTTGTCTCACTGAAAGAATAACTTTTACCACGTTTTTTACAGACAATATTGAGAGATAAATAGTAGCAGTTCTCACTATGTGTTAAATATCTTTGCCTTCGATACATTAAATTAGAAAGCTGACAGTCATATTGCTTGTTATCATCTAAATGTAACTTTTTGCATGGAAAAAACCCTCAACTTCACTGATGTGTAGGTGATCTAGTATTTAGTATTGTTTAATGGAATGTATATCAGTGTATTCAAGTCAATACTTCATTCATTTAAACCAATATCTTTCTTGATTCTTTGTACAGTATGAAAAAAGAGTCTTTGTACCTGTGCTGAAGTTCACTGCTGTGAGGAGTCCAGTTCTGTCTCTCACTCTCTGGTCCAGCCTGTCTGCATCACCTGGACACCTTGAACAAACAGATATATATATATATGTAAAGTACCATGTGTACAAACAATATAACTGATTCTCTTCTGTTGAACATGTTGGATTGTGTATTGTTCGAGTCAGGGGCCTTTTAATTTTACTGTAACTTTGGAAGTTGTGTTACCAATGCTTACTGTTTATTTGATACCCATTTAGTAATGCAATTAATAAAAACAACAAGGTTTGGGTTCGTTCTTCAGATGACTGTGACGTTAACGTGTAAGCTCAATAATGAACTCCAGCTCAACCAACCATATTGTAATATCTAAGTAATCATCTTGAAATATGACATTAATAATTGTAATATACACACATCTTATTGTGAGGTTGACTACACATACACTACTTCGACATTAGCTTGTCTACATACTTGAGCATAGCCAATTTAAATTAACCTTAGATGCATATAGTTCTACCTACATAATAAAATATCTCTAAGTTACAAGGATGTAACCTTATTTTATCAACCTCAAACAGAAGCCGTTTGTTCAACAGTATTATCCCACTTAACACTTGTCTATTTCGTTTTAACCTTTATATATACAGTCTATGATTTTAACTTGGAGGCTACGATTACAATCGTTAGCACCGATGTAGCTACCACTAGCTTACATGCTAACCCAAGCCTTACCATTCATTACGTAGCTGATTAAAATCATTAACACATAAATAAAGCACTAGAATTTCACTTACCGCAAAACCGCATTCATGCACTGTCTGTTTTAACCGCAGAGCGAGTCACAATAGTCCGATATATAAGCATAAAGAACAAACAACCACGGCCGGCTACAAGTTGTGTTTCCTGGATGAGCTGAGCAGGCAGAGTCCCTGTAGCTAGCTTCACGGAGCAGCTAGCAGAGAGACAAGAAGCTAACAGCGGCAGGCACTTGACAGAGCCGTCACTCAATGTGACCACGCCCTAAGTTATGCACAAACGTTAAGACCTAATATAAATAAAAGGGTCGCGTTAGAAAACAATTCACTCACAGATCCATAATCATGAAGGTGGAATCTAACTATATCGATAATAAAATGTATGGAGCCAGGGGTAGAAACATATTTGTTTCTGCTGTAAAGTTGGGCATTTTAACATGGGGTCTATGGAAATTGCTCCTTTCTGCAGCCATCGCCTATCGGCCAATATATGAACTGCAGTGTGTGGCACTTCCGTATTGGCTTCCCGGCTCTACCCCACAGTTTGCCGCTTGTTTGAGACGCGTTGCGGCTCGCCTCGAAAGTAGACGAGAATAGCCGATCGCAGCCGGGGGAGGTCTCAAAAAGCTCGCCTGAAGTCGGACAGCTCGGAGTCCATGCTCGGAGTCGGCTTCGTCTTCTTCTCTCGGTTTTTTGGCGGATTGCAAACA